TGGCGTTATAATGTGACGGTCAATCCCACTATTCGTTGGTAAAAGAGTAGCCCAAGAGTTGTCGGTGGGTGGTGCTGAGTAGCTGCCTTCCCTCTAGTCTTGCACTGCTAAATTAGGAACGGCTAGCGCAGATAGTCTTCGTGTAGCTTTGCGCGAAATCCATAACAAACAAACAACACTAATAGTAAAAACGATACTTTTCATTGTTTAGTTAAACATTATTTGTTAAATACAGTTTAAACTAACTTTTTTTTTGTTAAAAGAAGCAGTAATAATTTTCAGTTTTTTTGTTCTACCATATTCCTACAATTCAGTTAAAAGGGGTAATAATTTCACGGTTGAAACATTAGGCTTTACTCTGTAGTAATCGTTAATTTTTCATGGAGAAAGGTTCTCTTTTAGTTGGTAAATTAATTTATAACGGGTTGCTATATGAGTAGATGTTTAAGCTCTGTAAACATTTACAATAGTTTATTGAAAATATTTTTCTACATATCTCTTTAAATTTCATTTTCTTTCGGTATTTCAAAATATATTCCTTTTGCTGAAGGCGTGTTATATCTACGACATTACTACCTGTTTTGATACTAATATTTCTTAAACCTCTCGATTTCTATATTTAATTAGACAACTCAAGGTTATTCAAACGTTAAGCCATCTCACCACCATATTTGCAGGTACAGACAAAAAAGTTTAACCTGACATTTGCTGAATTAAAAAAAAATATTCATAAAATAAATCTAATTAGATATGGGAGAGGGTGGGAAGTTAATGAGTATGAATTACATAATAGAAGGATAAACGTATGTATTTAATGGTTAGAAAATATAGAGAAATTATTAAAAACAAGTAAATAAACACACATCTAACAACACAACCTGCCTGGCGTGGCCTGGCGTTTAGGGCACTCGACTTGCAATCTGTGAGTCGCGAGTTTGAATCCCCTCACGGAGCATGCTCGACGTTTCGGCCGTGGGGAGGGGGGAATGTTATAATGTTAATCCCACGATTTTTTCTTAGTAAAGAGTAGCCCAAGAGTTGGCGGAGGGTGGTTTTGGTTAAGTTGCCTTCCTTCTAGTCTAATGTGTTAAAATTAGTGACGACTAGCGCAGATAGCCCTCGAATAGCTCTGCGTGAAATTTATAAAAACTAAACAAACAACACGTCTACCATTAAAATGATTAAAAATGTATTTCTTTGGTGAGTACTATAATTCTGATTCAATCTCATATCTATCTAATCTATGTTACAATAAATCAGCCATGTCAAAACTTAGTGAGAAAATGTTATAAGCACACTTTTCCATTCTAACCTTATAGTCCTTATCACAGTAGATCCCTTCAAGTTTCATTTGAAAGGACATATAATAAAAGAAGTCTACAGAATCTACAGGTATTTAAAAATGAAGTCATGTATGGTTCAGGTTAGAGCACTAAATTACTTTACATAGCGACTGCTCTAATACCGAAAATAGCATTTGAAGGATTCATTAGATCTATCGTCCAAATCTAACTTATGATATTTAAAGAATATTTAATCCTTAAGCACCAAAATCAGTTTCCGTGGTCATGATATGTATGGTCATGTCGGCTACTTGAATCCAAGGACAATGAAGTTTAAATCTAGATTTGGGTATAGGTATATATATTCTATATCTAACAATACAAGTTTACTTGTGAAATGTTATCCATCTTTCCTTGCTAATGATCCCTTCCCAATTTTCATCTTTAGCCTTATTTTATGCTTTTCTGTGTGGCAAGATAATTTCACGTAATACCACACTCGGGAGCGTTTTGAGATCCCCACTATGGCCATCAGTAGATTTCCAGTAGATTCATAGGTTACTTCTAGTTTATCAGAGTTGTGTGCAAGAAGTCAATCCTGGAAAGGCAAACATCAAGTATCTAGGCTAGTCCTAGTTTACCTGAGTTGTTTGCAAGAAGCCAAGCCTAGAAAGACAAACATCAATTAGTTAGGCTAGTCCTAGTTTACCTGAGTTGTGTGCAAGAAGCCAAGCCTAGAAAGGCAAATATCAAGTAGCTAGTTTACGTTGCAACTCGAATTAAATAGGTAAGTTTGAAAGGGAGTGTTGGGTGATTATATACCACATGGGGAGGGGTAATATAGTGTTATTTCTTTTAATTTTTTCTGGTAAAGGTAAGATATTTTTACATTTCATCGAACTCTATATGAGATGGTTATATAGTGTTACTTTTTGATTTTTCTAATTTCAACATGGAAGTTCACTACTATAGAAGGGTTCCTACCCTAACTACAACCGCCCGCCCCCGGTTGAATGGTACTCAAAACCTAGAACATTGTGGATTTAACCACGTGGAGTTTACACCCCTTATTTCAGCTATATGCATGATTACTTTACTTGCGTTTCAAGAAATACTGGAGAGATGGGATATTCTCAAGGCTTTTTGGGTACTATCACTGCAGTTATTCGTCTGGAATCATACCCTTCGCAGTGTTCCGCGGTATAAGTTGTCTTATATGTTTGTGTTTCTATGGCGATAGTTCAATATAAGTTTATTGTTCATCACTGGTTTATTGTGGTGATTTTTTTGCGCCCATTTACAGTTAATGTCGGATTGTTTGGTGGATTTGTACATATGTATTGAAGACTGTCCTATCTATACTTATGAATACAGACATGAACGTTTGGTCGGTTTAAACAGCACTTATAACCAGAAATAAAATGCTTTGTTTTATGCTTGACCCCATAAAAAGCTTCTAGAGTATTTAAAATACTTCTATTTGAAGAAAATTTAATTGGTTGCTTCAAGGAAAATATTGTCTTCATTTAAAAGGTCTGATGGCTACCCAGTTTCTTATATTTCTGTTTTTTTCTTTGGCGTAGTTCAACTATTACTTTGTCAAACAATTCCAGTAGAGTTCTTTTAAAAAACTACAATGAAATAGAATTTTTAAGTAACTGAATGAATCGATTTATACTGAATCGATTTGGGAATGTTTTCGTAAAAATAAGCAAGCACTCGGTATTTAAGTGCATTGTTTGCTATCATATATACCATGCAGTCAAGTAATTACTGCATTTTGTTTTCATCATCTCTATATAGAAATATAGTTATTATTGTTTTTGTTCACCTTCATTTCTAACATTTACATCCTCTTTCAAGATATACAGATTTTGGTCTAGTTTGAGTCAGAGTTGTGCGAGAAAATTTCACAAATATTGTCAACGACTGTCTACGAGAAATATCTCAAGTTGTGAATCTGATTCTGTCTATGTAACTAGTTAACACGTATTACAAGAATGGTCTACAAGAATTACTATTTGGTCTATAAATAGTCCGTAACTTGTGTTTTCTTTTACTTATTAATCAGCTTCTCTTGTTTGTCACAGTGATTTTCGAAACAGTCTCATTGCAAAAACTTTAAAACGTTTCTATAGGAAAACAAATTACATTTTTAGTCACGTGTTTTATAGTCGATGATTTTATACAGTTAACTTACAAAGCTACAACATCACACTATAGAAAACGAGATGAAAAATAGTGTGAAATTCATACACAGAAATTTAATCCAACTTTTTACGTCCTTGGGCTAGGTTTATCGGGTTCGTTACGAGTTCATATACATTTTGTTCCAAAACGAACAGAGAAACTTCTCGTAATTACAAGTTCATTGTTTGTTTTTTATAATGAGTGATAGAATTATGTTTCATCATCGAAATATTTAGAACATTGTTCATGTTTATCCTGTTTATATCTGATATATGTATGCAATGAGTAATGACATAAGACTAGGTCTGTAACGACAGAAAACTGCGATATGTTATCATAAATAGAAAAAAAAATCTTTGGTCAGGTATATTCTAGTATTTTGTTCTAGTTTAGAAAAAGGTTGTAAGTCACAGTGATTGCTTAGTAAGATTTATACTTGCTTGACTCTCCTTCTGTGCTATGCCCTCTAGGAGTGTGGTCATACCCATTTCAAGGGACTTGTACAGGTTCGTTTGAATTAGAGGTTTACTCCCTTGGATAGGCATAATGAGAAAGACCACTGGCATAGGTAATTTAGAATTGTGGGATATCACACTAGGAACTATCGTTCTGATTTAATATTGCGATATATAATTATTTCTGTCTTCATCTCGTGCAGACGTACTTTCTTCACTACGCAGAGAGTTTCCAAATACAGAATATCGAAACCCGCCACTTTGTAAAATGCTCAAGTAATCCTCAGTGTGATTTGCATAAATAAAGATTTTATTCTGTTCTTTTCTTTTGATGTTCCTGCTCAAAATTATTATTTGCTTAAATTTTCCTGAACTTGTTATGTATTGCGAATACTTATAACTTTTTGTTCGACATCAATGTACCTGAATACCAGATGTCATGAAACATTTGCGTGAGAGAACAGTGCAAACTTTTGTTGGTAACAGTATTAACACTGTGCTTACATGTATGGATGATAAACAAGATCAGACACATTATAAAGTAAGAGAAGTAACCCTTGAAGATATGCTATAAACAAAAAAAACTCAAATTATTTAATATAGTACATTCGACCCTTAAAAAGGAAAGGTCCTATAAAAAACACACAACACTTATTACGTCAAGTAGAAATACACACTTACTTGATAAAGCGATAGTGCTCAAGATAAACATTGCCATCCAAGCCTCCAACCCCATCTTTAGTTCTTGCTTTTCCAAATTCAAATAACACTGACGACGCAAGAAACTTTTTAAAATTTTAATATTAGTGTACTGGAGGCAGAAAAATCCCCATGCACTTCTTTCGCTCAATTGTAAAGACTCTTGCTAGTCCTGCTCAAAATCTAAGAGAAATAAATTCAGGAAAGATGCTGACTCTTCTGTATGGAACGACTAGCACACATGCGCATTTCCTACACCATTACGTAACGGATGGGATGACGTGTTAAGTATCTGTTTTATGGCTGTCCATCAGGCTCTTATGATTTACGTTAGTAGCATAAAGTATGTACAAACAATAACTTGACAGATGAAATATAGAACAAAGGTTTAGCTCGCAGATGTAAAGATGTAGCAATAAAGCTGCAGTTTTTCTTTGCTGCAACGAAATCTTTACAATATATTATCTTTCAGAAAGCCGAAGAAAATATCTTTTTTTTCTGTACTTCGGTGATTCTCGTCGTGTTATAATATAAGCAGAAGTTAGACGTTATTGTCCGTGCATCGACTTCCTTAATAAGCATGGCCTGGTGGTTAAGGCGCTCAACTCGCAATCTAAGAGTCTCGGGTTCGAATCCCCATCACCGAACATGCTCATCCTTTCCACCGTGCGGGTGTTATGTTATAACTGACGGTCAATCCCACTATTCGTGGGTAAAAGAGTAGCCTAAGAGTTGGCGGTAGGTGGTGTTGACTAGCTGCCTTATCTTTAAGTCTATCACTGCTAAGTTAGGGACGGCTAACGCACATAGCCCTCGTGTAGCTTTGCCCGATCTTCAAAACAAACCAAATCTTAATGTACCGTTTTCGTTATATAACATATAGTACTTAATAATGTAACACACCCATTAGTATAATTTGTAATGTGCGATAATATAAAAGCAAGCTATTTTTAATTACTTTCTTGGATCCTAAAGTACTAATCTGACGATCTCCTGCAATACGTAGTTTGCGATTCTTGGTGGACTCAAAGCCCATTCAGAACGCTTAAGAAATTAGGTTAGTCACTTAAGTTATGTATTCATCCACTGTCAAAAACTCTTTGGCATAATAGAAGTATTCAGAAGAAAGAACACTACCAGGTTTTGTTTGTTTGTTGATTTTGCGCAAAGCTACACGTGGAATATCTGATCTGGCCATCCCTAATTTTGAAGTGATTCTTTGTTTGTAATTAAGTACAAAGATACACATTGGGCTATCTGTGCTATTTACACCACGGGTATCGAAACCCGGATTCTAGCGTTGTAAGTCAGCAGACCTTCCGCTGTGCCACGGGGGGGGGGGCTGAAGTGATTGACTAGAGGAAAGACAGCTAGTCAACACCACCCTCCACCAGCTCTTGGTCTTGTTCTGTCAGACCAAATAGGTCGATTTGACTGCCAGAAGAAACCATCCTTTATTAAGTATTCATGATATTGTGTTTACATTTATGTATATGATATATTGAAATTATCTTCCAACAATTTGCTGTTGGATAGCCTCCATTGAAACTTTCCTTTTCCAAGTATATGATATATTGAAATTATCTTCCAACAATTTGCTATTGGATAGCCTCCATTGAAACTTTCCTTTTCCAAGTATATGATATATTGAAATTATCTTCTAACAATTTGCTGTTGGATAGCCTCCATTGAAACTTTCCTTTTCCAAGTATATGATATATTGAAATTATCTTCTAACAATTTGCTGTTGGATAGCCTCCATTGAAACTTTCCTTTTCCAAGTATATGATATATTGAAATTATCTTCTAACAATTTGCTGTTGGATAGCCTCAATTGAAACTTTCCTTTTCCAAGTATAATTTGCCATTTTACAAAATTCGTGTAACAACATGACCAGTAGGTATATCATGTCAATATTATTTTTTTCATAGATTTTACGGTATTACTCGAGAGCATGTTTTTTTAATTTATTTCCCTTGCGTTTGGGGCTAATGTGATTTGTGGGTTCCTTTTCAGATAGATTAGTAGTCTTATTTTCTTACTGTTTCGCACAAAAACCTCATATCATCTCTCTACACTTACAGGCATGAATTTTGGGCAGAGTTAGCCAAAGTAAGAAAAACTTTAAACTGTTTGTTTGCTTTATTGTTAGGCACAAAGCTACACAAAAGGTTGTCTATGTGCTGACAACCATAGGTATCGAAATACAATTTTTAGTGTCGTAAGCACAAAGACTTACCGATGAGCCATCGGCAAGGGGGCAACAATTAAAATATATATATATGAGCAAGTTAAGTGTTTCAGAAATCAAATACGGTGCCAGTCTTCGGATGACCAATGCCATTAATGTATTTGGATATTTGATTATGAAGAATATTATGATTCTATTATAACATTTTAATTTATCTGAAAGTCTTATTTTAGAGCTTATATTTCATCTTGCTCAGTTTATTCAGCTTTTCACACCACAGATTTCTATATGAATCAGATGCACTCTGTTTCGTTTTAGTTTTAAAATGTTTCCTAGCCATCTCTACAGGCAAAGTAAAAATCATGGAGACCAAGCTAAAAATCACACAGCGCTTCAATAGAGACTACCGCTCGTCTTTAGATCTGCTTTTATTTTAATCGCCAAGGCGGTGTAGTATTAACATTGTTCAGCGTCTACACGGGCATAGTAAGTTAGGTATTAACATTGTTCAGCGTCTACTCTTCCATAGTTAGTCAGGTATTAACACTGTTCAGCGTCTACACGTGAATAGTTAGTTAGGTATTAACATTGTTCAGCATCTACTCTTCCATAGTTAGTCAGGTATTAACATTGTTCAGTCTACACGTGCATAGCAAGTTCGGTATTAACATTGTTCAGCGTCTACACGTGCATAGTAAGTTAGGTATTAACACTGTTCAGCGTCTACACGTGAATAGTTAGTTAGGTATTAACATTGTTCAGCGTCTACTCTTCCATAGTTAGTCAGGTATTAACACTGTTCAGCGTCTACACGTGAATAGTTAGTCAGGTATTAACATTGTTCGGTGTCTACTCTTCCATAGTTAGTTAGGTATTAACATTGTTCGGTGTCTACTCTTCCATAGTTAGTTAGGTATTAACATTGTTCGGTGTCTACTCTTCCATAGTTAGTTAGGTATTAACATTCTTCAGTGTCTACACATGCATAGTTAATTGCACAAACATGTCACGAGATTAGGAACATTCAACTTGTACACAGTGTTGTCAATGATTCTACAAGTTATATTCCTTAGTTATATTACCGACAGTCATGTGCATCGTAATGTCGAATACAGAAATTAAAGTTGTTCATGAAGAATATGTTTCCTTAGCTTGAAGTATATTAATATTTTTCCCTAGCTTGAAGTACATTATTATGTTTCCCTAGCTTGAAGTATATTATTATGTTTCCCTAGCTTGAAGTACATTATTATGTTTCCCTAGCTTGAAGTACATTATTATGTTTCCCTAGCTTGAAGTACATTATTATGTTTCCCTAGCTCGAAGTACATTATTATGTTCCCTAGCTTGAAATATATTATTATGTTTCCCTAGCTTGGATATATTAATTTGTTTCCCTAGCTTGAAGTACATTATTATGTTTCCCTAGCTTGAAGTACATTATTATGTTTCCCTAGCTTGAAGTACATTATTATGTTTCCCTAGCTTGAAGTACATTATTATGTTCCCTAGCTTGAAGTACATTATTATGTTCCCTAGCTTGAAGTACATTATTATGTTTCCCTAGCTTGAAGTATATTATTATGTTTCCTCTTATTTTTATGCAATACTTCTTCAATATCTCCATCTTTTTTAGTTGTCGATTTCGATGACTATATAATCAAATCTTTAAAGTCGATTGATAAGCAACACATAAAATCAAGCAAAATTATACTCACGCACACGCCCTAAAAAAGAATTTTCTCTCTCTCTCTCTCTCTTTCTATATATATATATATATATATTCCTGCCCGAAAAGATCTGTTTCTGATATAGTTCTTTTTATGAATATCACATCTGGAGCGTTAATAAACACTAATAAACCTAGAAAATCATATACTCCAGAAAAAAATGTATATAAATATGGAATTGAAGTTTAATCTAGTACTTGAATTATATCTGTATATATAAATATAGACGAAATATGTATTTGTATGCACCCGAACTCCTCCTAGCATATTGGGCCAATTCCAACCAAACTTTTTATGTAAACACTATGAACTATGGGTAATGTCCCAAGGGGTTCAAAATTGAACTTAACCCTATTTCTATTTTGCAAATACAATGTTGAATATTCTAAAGGGATTCAAGGTCAAAGTATGAAAGTTCCTGGATTGTTTCTCAAACGGCTATGCGTTTCTCATGGTCAATGAGATATAGGGCGTTCAAGGGTGATATAACCTCAAAATCTTTATTTATTGGCAGATGGAAAGCAAACTGCAAATGTTGTTTATGAAGAAGCTTTGTTATAATTTTAAAATTTTGAGTTAAATTTTATGTTCAACTTATTACTTTGAAATATATGGTTGCTGTTAAACTTGCATTATTTTAATTAAGTTTAAACATTCCCCGTCAGTTGACGGGTATTTCAGCTTATAAGCAATACAACTAACTTCTGGAATGTGTAACAGGTATGTACCATTAAGACATTGTAAGATATATACAAAACACACCATCCTTTAATCAATGAAAGATGTGTACACAACACGACTTCCTCAATGTAAGATGTGTACAGAATAGGACTTTAATTAATCTATCAGAAAATGTATACAGAAAAATTAAAAAAACTTCTTACTCAACAAAAGATGTATACAGAGCACGCTTTCCTTCAGCCCAACGTCAGATATGTTCATAATAAAAGTGTCTTTAATTCATTGTAAGATGTGTTCATGTTCTAACTACTTTTTACTCACCGTAATACATATACAGAACACAACTTCTTACTCAACGTAACATGTATGAATAACAAAGTTACCCTTAACTGAACGTGAAGTGTGTAGAGAACAAGTATGACGGTACAAAACACAGGGAATGTAACGTGTATATAATAGTAAAATTTATTTCGAAGCTTAGCAAATGATATCTATAGAGAATAGAAAGTTTTTTCAGTTCAACGTAGAATATAGATGGAACACAAGGAAATTCCTTCTCCTAAACGTGAAAAATGTGTGGGACACAGAAGTAAATTCCGCTTAACATGAAGTTCTTATGACACATAAGTAACATTCTTCATCTCAGCATTTAAGCTGTGTGGAATAGAAGTTTTCACCTTTATATGGAATATGCATAAAACAAAGGATTTTTTTTCTTTTATGGGAAAAGTTTTCACCTAAAACCCAGAGAAAAATATATAATCGAAACCAGGTAGCCAGATATTAAATAGCAAGCAAGTTAGGAATACGTAATTTCTACGTTTTAGGGTATCTTTTAGTATTGGCACACAATAAAACAAACAAACTCAAGCAGCAGCAAGAAAGATAGCCTAAAGGTATTGTAGGCCTAAAGAAAGTTAATGAACAGAGTAGGCTTAATGTGTTGTAGGCCTAAAAGACTTAAATAAAATCAAACTAAAAAAATTAAGCTTGAATTAGTCATATATATAGTACACCTAACTAGAATTAGAATTTAAAGTACGCTTTTGACATTTAAGCCTACCAGTACTAAAGAGACAATGCAAGTCCAATTAAGCGAGTTAAATACAGCATTGTTTTCTTATGTTACTTTGATCCATCCATTTACTGTAGATATTTTGCCGAATTTCAAAGGACATTTGATATTATAAGAGAATATATGTGCATACCCATTCGCATTCATATAAAGTGCAAAGTTTGCAATTAGTTGTGATAATTTCATATATATCAACTTTAGTAGTTTGTGATTATACTGTTATAAAAATTGTTTTATCTCTTTATATTTGAAACTTAATTTTTAAAATAAATGTAATTAAAATCCTGCATATATGAAACAGTCATCTAGTGACAGTGCTTAACACTGACTTTTTAAACATAAGAAATACATGTCGCTATGCTAAGACTAAATGTGTTTTTTATGCTTACATCACATTTTTTATAGCGATTTTAAAATTTGTTTTACCTTCAATGATTTTAAAACACTGTATCAACTCTAAATTCAATTTAATCATTTCCTTCATTTTCTTAGAATAATCGGGAGTTTTTGAAAATTAAAATGATAAGGAAATCTGTACCTCTGCGCTTAAATGAATATGTAAAACATATATATATATATATTAAAATAGGGCGTGTGATGTGAATGTACATTCCTATTTGTAAAAATGTATTAAAACACACTCTGATCAATTTTATAAAGTAAAACTTTATTCCAGCAATCAACTTTTAATTGACAGTCGTAGCCACCGTCCCTGAAGACTAAGATGATTTGTATACTACCTTATGTCCCTGCACCACAAATTATTCCATTCATTTCCCCGTTCCTAATCCCTATCGGTTAAAACACAATATTTCAGTTTGTCTGAAGATTCTTTTACCGGTCGCCTGGTCCTCCCATCATCATCATTCCTCCGGGAAACATCCATGGATTTGGCCTAAAAGATGTTTGTGATGATTCGGCTGGATTAAATCCGTACTGACTTTGACGTTGTGGCTGCGAGCCAGGAAAAGGCTGGTATCCAGTTTGATGCTGGTAACTTGTCTGCTGTTGTCGCTGTGGACCAGGCTGAGGCTGGTATCCAGTTCCTTGTATCTGATAACCAGTTTGTTCTTCTGGCCGAGATCCAGGTTGTGTCTGGAATCCTGTCTGTTGTTGTGGCTGTGAACCAGGCTGAGGCTGATAGCCAGTTTGTTGTGGCTGGTAACCAGTTTGTTGAGGTTGGTAACCAGTTTCTTGTTGTGGCTGGTAACCAGTTTGTTGAGGTTGGTAACCAGTTTCATGTTGTGGCTGGTAACCAGTTTGTTGAGGTTGGTAAACAGTTTCTTGTTGTGGCTGGTAACCAGTTTGTTGAGGTTGGTAACCAGTTTCTTGTTGTGGCTGGTAACCAGTTTGTTGTGGCTGGTAACCAGTTTGTTGTTGAGCTTGGTAACCATTTTGTTGCTGAGGTTGAGAGCCTGTGTGTAGCTGCTGTGAGACGTCCTCTGTTCGTCCATTTAAATAGTAGTAATTGGGCGATTCCTCACATTCCACATTATACCAATAATCACAAGCTAATATTTTTTGGTTAAAAACAGTCCCTCTAGCACACAAGAAGTTAGCCACTCTGTCCTGTGGGTAACAAACGTGGTATGCCTGCAAAAAACAAACAGAAAAAAACATTATTAATGGACTCTTCTAGTTATTTTTGGAGATTCTAAAATTAGTTTTATAAAAGTCGTAAATGTTTAAAACGTTATTTATTTCGAGTTTCTTTCAATTTCTGTTTCTTGTAATGTTTTTAGCGAAATTATTATAATAATTTTTGGTCGTGGCTGTCTACCCTCCTCTTGCTGTAATTAATTAGATTCTATACTGGCAGCATATTAATTGCAATCCGAAAATCAAGTGTCCAGAAACAGAAAGCTACAGATAACACTAAGCCTGGCAAAACACCATTGAAAATATCAAAGAAAGTGTAAAAAGAGACACATTGCGTATGTATCGCTCATAGTTAGCAGTGATGATTTCAGAGTATTTTCTCATTGCCTTCTTTTTCATATTGCCTGTAATCTCAATTTGTATATTTAAGTATTTTGCTAGACTTACTGGATTATCTCTGTGTTATTTACACATTAATGTTTTTTCTACACTTTACAAGGTTTGGCTTGTTTATTTTAGCGCAAAGCAACACAATGGGCTATCTGCGCTCTGCTCACCTAGGTTAATCGAACCTCGGAGTTTAGTGTTGTAAATCCTAAACTTACTGCTGATCCCCAGAGCGTTTCAATGATTTACAAATTAAGCCTAAAACAAACACACGAGGATTGACTTTATCATGTTGTGATTACAGCAATATGAGAACGTCTTTCTTTGTGTTATAATTCTGCCTAAGGTTTCGAAGAATGTAGCTATTGAAATCTGGCTTTAAAACTCAGTAGTATGTTTAGAAACATACTGTTAACATTATATCTTTCAAATATAAACCTCGTTCAGTGTATCAAGCTAATTGAAGCAAACACTTGTAAAAGACGTTCATTTTGGTAAAATGTAGTAATTCTAAACATCAAGAAAATGTATTGCTCGTGCACTGAAAATCCCTTGCTCTGAATTTACGCCATATCTTTGGAGTATTTCTTATTTAACTAAACAGAACTTAGAACAGGAAATAACAGTTTTGGTTAGTTAGTTTATATTAGTAAGTAGTAATCGTAAAATTCACCACTGTGATTTAACTAGTAATCGTAAAACACACCACGATGGTTTAAGTAGTAATTGTAAAACACATCACGGTGGTTAAAGTAGTAATCGTAAAGCACACCACGATGGTTTAAGTAGTTATTGTTAAACATACCACGATGTTTCAAGTAGTAATCGTAAAGCACACCATGGTGGTTTAACTAGTAATCGTAAAACATCACAGTGGTTTAAGTAGTAATCGTAAAACACATCACGGTGGTTAAAGTAGTAATCGTAAAACACACCACGATGGTTTAAGTAGTAATTGTAAAACACATCACGGTGGTTAAAGTAGTAATCGTAAAGCACACCACGATGGTTTAAGTAGTTATTGTTAAACATACCACGATGTTTTAAGTAGTAATCGTAAAGCACACCATGGTGGTTTAACTAGTAATCGTAAAGCACACCACGATGGTTTAAGTAGTTATTGTTAAACATACCACGATGTTTTAAGTAGTAATCGTAAAGCACACCATGGTGGTTTAACTAGTAATCGTAAAACATCACGGTGGTTTAAGTACTAATCGTAAAGCACACCAT